CCCTGTACAAGGTAGGTATGCGTGTGTGCTCTGTGAGCAGGTGTGTGCATGATGGAGTATGCATGTGCACACGTATTGAATGTGCACGTACAAGGGTTCTGAATGCATGCCCTGTGCCCTTGTGTACGTGCCATATGTATGTGCATGCATGTACATTTCAGTGAGAAGGTGTTCCCAGACCCGGAAGGTGAAATCCATTATGGGAATGGCTACTCACTCTTGTGATTCTGGTGCCAGTCTGCCTCCTTTCTGGTGTTTGGCCCCTACACAGTGTCCCAGCCCTGTGGGAGGCCCCAGGGACCTAAGGAGCCAGAACCCTCTGGAGCCCATGTCAGGAAGGAGCTAATACAAGTGTTCCCAGAGGATGAGGTCCAGAGGGAACGCTGAGGGGATAGCTGGGGGCTTGGCCAGACCCTCTGTTACCAAGGCCTTGGTGAAGTTGCAGTGCCACCTGGTGGTTGGATTGGAATCTGCTGGGACTGGGCCTATGACCCTGGGTCCCACTAAAGGCCTAGCCACCTGGAGGACATCTTTGGGGAAGGGCTAAATCCTCCAGTACTTGAGGAGGGCCAGGGGGTGGGTGCAGCAAAGCAAGGCCTTCTTTAGGTGGGAGGGAAGATGGTGGACAGAGCCACCTCCTCCTGGAAGGATGCTCCTCCAGGAAACCTACAGATTCTGTTCAAAAGTACCCTTCACTGAGTCATTCTCTTAAGTTGGGGAAGGGAACAGAGGGATGGAAAAATCAACCATATTGCCCCTTCCTCCTTCCCTTCTTCTACCTCTCTCCTTTCTTGGTCTTTTTCTGTCTCTTTGTCCTTCTCTCTCTTTCTCCCTCTCTGGGACTGGGGTAGGCTATTCCTATACCTTCCCACCAACCCCACCCCTCCACAGAGACCTGACTGTGGCCCAGACTTGTCTGTCTGTCCTACACCCCAGACTGCAGGGCCTGGCTAAGGACTGGGCTGACCCAGGGTGATTGACCAGGTTTGCTATGAGACTTTTGGGGATCCCTTCTGGAAAATTCAAGGAGCAATCTCTCCAGGACCTCAGTTCTCACATGTCCACCTCCTGGGCTGGGCTGGGGCCTGTCTGGAGCCTCCACCATCCACTGGGACCCCTCCATGGCCTCTTTCTCCTGCTTGGATTTTCCAGATTTTGTGTGGGAGACAAATTCTTCCTGAAGAACAACATGATCTTGTGTCAGATGGACTATGAGGAGGGACAGCTCAATGGCACCTTTGAATCCCAGGTTCAGTAATGCCCGGCGCCTGGCCTCCAGGCCCGTCTGTCCGTCTGCCTGTCTGCCCGTCTGTCCACCCGCCTGGCCGGCCAGCCACTCTCCTGCCGATTAGAACTCCTCCGTCCTCGATGGGAGGGACGGCCCTTCCTCCGCCGCCCGTCTGTGTGTGACCCCTCCTGGGGCCAGGCTGGGCCTGTACAGTCTGTCTTCTGTATATAAATGGGAACATTTATTTTATGAGAAATGTAATGCGATTTTATTACTGGCGTGGATTAAACTTATGAATGTTTCCGGGGAGGTTACTGTGCGTTGATCACATGACTGACACAGACCTAGGGTCCCTCCCCTCTGCCTGGGAGCAGAACAGGGCCCTCCCTTTGACCCCTCCAGAGAGGGGTGTGGAGCAGGGCATGGGGCTCCAGCATGTGCTGTTGCTGGGTAGAAGGTGGAGGGAAGGGGACAACTCCAAGTATCCCACAGCCAGGGGTGGGCTCTCCCCCGGCAGAGCATATACCCTGGCTCCCAAGATACGGAGAGGTATGATGAAACCCTCCCTTCCCTGGGTTCCTGTGTTACATCCCTCCACTGAGACCCCCAGCCAGGAACCCAGCCCTGACCTCCCCCACAGCAGGACCCCAAATCCTGAGCCCCCTACCATGGGAATACCATTCTTAAAGCCCTCTTCCCTTTCAGGGTGATGGACAGCGTTTGCTGTCTCCTCCCTGCAGCTTGGGCCTGACCTGGGGCCCGCCTTTCTGCTCTTCTGGGTGAGCGAGAACAATCCTGCTTGCCTGTATTCAGCCCACACAGGCTAGAGGCTTTCATTCATTCATTCAGCAAACCTTAATCCACTCTGTCTCAGCCCCATGCTGCAAGCACCAGACATGCGGATGAATCATGGATCGGACATAGTCTCTGCCCTTGAGGAGGAGGGAGAAAGCCAGGAAAAGAAATGGAGCACATCACAGTGAGGACGAGCACCGCAGGGAGACCCGGGACAGGCCAGCTCCCATCAGCGGACAAGGGCCACTTCTGAAAACTCCGGAGAGTCTGAGACAGGCCATCCAGTGAATACCCACAGTCAGACAGATACGTGTGCTGGCAGGGAGGAGACACGGACACACCAGCAGTGGGGGTGGAGGCAGAAATAGGCAGGGACAGCCAGCCAGGCAGACACCCAGGGTAGTTTGCATTCACCGGCTGGACCAGACCTGCCCAGGGCAGCAGGGACGCTGTCTCACTCTTGGCCGCAGCCCCAGCACCAAGCACAGAGCCTGGGACTGTGAACGTGTCACTGAGCGGTATTAAAAATAGGGACTCCTTGGATCCAAAGCCGGCACAGGGAAGGCGGTATGGACAGACTCCTCCCACTAGCAGTCATTTGCTCTTCCTTCTCCAGGGACGGTTTTCACCCTGGCCTCAGACGAGAGCCCGGGGCTGATGGAGCCTGCCCACTGCCTCAAGCCTCACCCCCTCCTGGGCTGGGAACCTCACCTCACCCTGCCCCCGGCCTGCTCCTCCACTTTCAGTGAAGTTGGGGGTGGTGGCTGGGCCCTTTGGGCACTTGGAAGAGGCTACCTCTCCACGTTGTGGTTTTGTGGCCAGTGGCCCAGTCCATGGGAAGGGATGGCAAGGACCATGGATACTGGGGTAGGTAGGGGTCCTCAACTTTGGGACAACCACCTTCTGTGACAGAGCTGTATGACAGAGGGGAGGAGCAGAGAGCCAGTCAGCCTGGCTGCAGTAGGAATTTTTGTGTGACGTGTCTGGTGTGACTGAGACTGGGGAAGTGTGTGGTTGTACATGGCCGTATGAGACAGTGAATGGGTTTGAGTGCGTGAGTTTGAGGGCTGGAGTCTGTCATGAGGGATTTTCTCACTCAGCTTGGAAAAGCAAATCATTTTTCTGGATGTTAGCAGAGACCCCAGCACCAGCCCCTCCCTGGGCCCTTCTACCAAGGATGGCTGTGCCCCCACCCCAAGAGCCCCAATTCCTAACTTCAGAGTTTACTGCAGATGAAGTTGTAACACAAGTTAATTACATGGTTATCGAGAGATAACGGAGCCACTCGAATGCAGTTTCTGGGCAATTACAATTGTTTCCAACAGAGTCCCCATATTGCAGCCATGAAATAGCATGTCGTTTTGCAGTAATTATGTAATTAACTCGTCTCACCGCTCTAGGTTGCACAACAATTAATTCACTCACAATGAGATAGACTCGACATCAGGCAGCCAGCCTTTGAAAACTCCTGAGAGCAGAGGTGGCCTTCTAGGAGGCCCCCGGCCCTGCTCTGCCCACTGCAGACCTTACCAGGGGACTCCTCAGTTCAACATGCCATGGAACATGCCAGATCCAGCACCATGGCCCCACTTATTGCTGTGTCATCGTCCTCATCCGGGAAATGGGGACGATCTATTTCCCA